TTCTGATGGCCTCAATTTACAACAGATGTAAAAGTGACATTTTTTATCATGGTGCAAAGCTTCATACTACTTAGCCAATTACTGCACTCTCCGAATTACTGCACGGATTAACAAACACAGTTTGCTTGGATTTTATTACTGACTACCCCATGTTGTTTGTTTGGATGCCATTCTGGTACTACTGGACCTTTTCTCTAAAATGGCCCTTTTCGTCTCTTTTTGTGGCCTTCTATACATTCCAGAGAATGCCTATTTGTTTATTCACAGTGGGTTTTTTCCCCCAGAACTACAGACTGACTGATCATTTTATTTTGTACAGAGGCCGCTCAATTCACAGAACTTTTTTTTCAGCACTATAACAGCAACTGAATTAATGTTCCGCCTGTCTTCTGTTCATCACCCATAATCTGACAGAGGAATGGAAAGAACAAACATCATGCAGAACAACACTTTCTTTGCTACATAAATGACCCGCTCAAAACCTGGCCTGAGGTTTAGCTGTGGTTCTATTAATTCATGCCTCTACTCAAATGTCTCTATTTCAGGCTGTTTATGATACTGCTTGCACCTACTCTTGATACTTCTTGGTTTCCACTCATTCCATTTTTACCATAAACTGCAAGATATGCTGTGACACTTCAAGGATCAACTTCCTGTAAATGCCCTGCTACCCATCGCCAAAAGGAAGACCATTCTTTTGCTGTTGGATACGACACCCGGCTTTCTACTAGGATTCTCGTCTTCAATCCAACTGTCTAAGAAGCTGTATGCTAAGTTTATCAGGCTGTTGGCGGTACTTACATAGATTGGTCCCATTATCTTTTGTGTGTGGATTCCATCTACACTAAAAATACACCTGGTCTTTTGACATTGTTTCCTGGGTCAAAAATGCCCCTTTTGCTCTTTGTGCACTTCAGCTTCATTCTTTCTCTGTAAAGGAAACTGACCTGGGGAAAGGAGGGAAGCAATTGTTTCAGTAACAAGAGGAACACAGAAATTACCACCCCAACGATTTAGCGGAGAGGAGGGGGAGTTCTGGATGAGGGAGAACTGGTGACAAAGATATCGAGAGCTTCTCCAATGTTTGTCAGGAAGTACCCCAGGCAAGAGGATGGAAGGGCTTATAAATTTAACAAACAAACAAATAATAGATGCCCCTTAAGGTGGGGAAATTTTGTCTGCTCGACATGATAGAAGGAAACAGAGAGAGGAAAAATTAGCCCATCCAGCACAAGAAGAAGAGAGAAATAGCTAGCAATGTCCAGATCCCAGGGAGAAAAGAAAAGGGAAAACAGAGTAATAGTGTGAGGACTGAAGTTGACAGGGCCAGAAGCAATGTGCAGGTGTTTTACACATCTAAGACTGAGAAATGAATAGCAGGAAATCTATTGCCACATAAGTGTGTAAAATATAGGGACAATATATGGGACATAATATTTAAGCACTGCCTTTGTTACAACTATAATTTGATTTTTAGACCCGTTGTAATTGATCTTTGTTGTTAAAGCTATTCTGGTGTCTTTCAATAAAAGCAATTTATCTATTTACACTTGTCCTTGATTGTTTGTTACTTAACTCCTGAGTACAGGTTCGAGTTCTCGGGGGATTTATTTCTGGATTATGGTAAAGCTCTGGCAAAGCTTTGATCTTGCTTAGGGATGCAAAGAAATGGAAGCAGGCAGCAAGACAGCAACTCCTTGTAGAAAGGAGCATCCAGAAATAGCCTGTGAATGGCCATGAAAGAGGAATATAGCAGGGAAGGGGAAATTCCCTGCTATAGCGGAAGGGGAAGAGCCAAGGTGGCGCAGTGGTTAAATGCAGCACTGCAGGCTACTGCTAGATCAGCAGTTCAGCGGTTCAAATCTCAACGGCTCAGGGTTGACTCAGCCTTCCATCCTTCCGAGGTGGGTAAAATGAGGACCCAGATTGTTGGGGGCGATATGCTGACTCTCTGTAAACCGCTTAGAGAGGGCTGAAAGCCCTATGAAGCGGTATATAAGTCTACTGCTATTGCTATTGCTATAAATGGTGCTGTGGAGACAGTGGAAAGTATGGTTATGTAAAAACCCTTGTTGGAAAATCTGTGGAAAACTATATTGTGCCCTGTGCTGGCAAACCAGCCAAAAAATAAAAAATAAAAAAACTGTTGGAAAAACCTAGTTCTGTTTCCTAGCTTAAATCTACCTTCTATGGAGCAGAAGGTGGAGTTAAGACCTTTAAACCAGTGTTTTTCAACCACTGTGCTGCGGCACACTAGTGTGCCGTGACATAGTGTAAGGTGTGCCGTGGGAGAATTACTTTATATATAGTCAATATAGGCACAGTTAAATTTTTTAACATTTTCTAATGGTGGTGTGCCTTGTGATTTTTTTCATGAAAAAAGTGTGCCTTTGCACAAAAAAGGTTGAAAAACACTGCTTTAAACAGAGGTCCTTCAAAAGAGCACTAAACCAATGATTAAAACCAAGTCTAGCATTACACTACAAAAAAAGCATTAAACCCATGTTTATAATGAGCCCACATTAGATCTGAGAAGCCCTTCAGAAAACATGGTCAAGTTTTTGAGCCTTTGCTTCTGCCAGAAGTTTGGGCTTTCCTACAATATGGCCAAAATGGCCATAAAGTGGTCCCCAACAAACAGAATAGCCTAGCGTGGCCAACACCTGGGGTTGATGAGCTCCCCTCCCCTCTCGACAGGTGTGGTTGTTGGTCATTTTAATATGTGTATTTTGTACTTGTATGTTTCCCCTTCCCGTTTAAGTTGTTCGCCGCCCTGAGTCCCTTTTTAGGGAATAGGGCAGCATATAAATAAAATAAAACTTAAACTTAAACACAGTGGTCCCTCAACTGTATCAGCAACTTGCAACCTCGATGAATCATGCTAGATTGTGCCCGTGGCCAAAATTGTTTTGGGAGAAAATGTAAATTTTATTTCAAAACTGGTACAACTAACGATGAGGTTTAGCTGCTCTGCTATATGCTGAGGTTCAGAAGAAGATAAGGTTATAAGGATGTGGAATAATAGAAAAAAAATATGGGGCGTGTTTATACAGTGGTTAGAGAGGACGGAGGCCAAGCCCTCTGGGTCTCTAATCTGCTGTTGTGGTGAAGATCTTCTGAACTGTAGGATGGGAAACTGGAACGCCGTTTATTCCATTTGGGAACCTTCTACTTTCTATCTTAAGATGGTATCTATTTACCTGTGGCTAAAGCTCCTTAGCAGAATAGATTGCCAGGGAGTGTAAAAAGTCCTTGGAAAGGAAGAAAGCAAGGAAGGGAAGGGAAAGGAAGAAGGAAGGAATACAAATGAAGCAGAAGAAGCTCCAATAACTGTTGTTCGCCAGGTCCAACTGCTGAATATATTTTGCTGTTCCTTCTTTGCCCTTGGACGGAGAAATGTTGTGGGAGAGAAAGTAAAGATTTAATAAAAGGAGCAATAACCACACCTTCCGGTCCCACCCAAAAAACTGAAATAGAACAGAACAAAAAGGAGTTTTGTATGAACCAACAGAGATTGGTTGTTCCCTCTTCCCTACAATTCTGATATTATGGTATTATCTGAGCATCAACACACTTCCCATCAGGTCAAAGAAAGGGAAAGGATCAGACTCGTATATAAATGTATATCATATACTCTTTTTTTAACTGGAAGGTATCCTCTTTCTGTGAGGTAGAGAGCACGATTATTTTCTTTCAGTTGTCCTGATTTGTCCTGAAGTAATTTATATTGACCTTTTACAGGATAGAACCCTTTCGGATGATAGAAACAATCATCCACAGGTAAGGATTTCCTTTACATTACTTTTGACAGGATGATGACACCCTTACAAATTCTGTATTGGTAGTAATTCCCGACCATTTGATAAAAGTCTTTTGAAGTTAGATAAAACCAGGTGACAAAATTTGAAATTTGTGAAGTTGTAACTCAGGGCTTGTCCTTTTCAATTTGGTAACAATATATTTTAACAAATATATCCAGGATTCACATATATATTGTTAGTTTAGGCATTAAAGATTAAATACAGATATTTTGAAAATGAGATTTTGGAGGAGGGGGAAATACAATTTGGGCTTAAAATATTCTGGAATCCATGGATAAATATAGATGTAGCATCCAAAAAGCAGTAAAAAGTAATCTGGAAGTGCCTTTGTTGATTGTATTCAATGCACATCAATATATGCTTCTCCACGCCTGAATTCATAAAAGAAATATTTTAGATTTTAAAAGTTGCGGCTTTATTTTTAAGAAGCTCTTCACAATCATATATAATCCTACACTAAGAAGGTGATTTATTATCTCCTTGTAGGATGGCTCATTTATGCCAAATGTATACGATCAGGTTAATATATTTTTGGATTTTAATTATTAACTTATACAGATAGTCCTTTCATTTAGTGATTGTTCAAAGTTAAAACAGCGCTGAAAAAAGTGACTTAAAACTGGTCCTCTCACTTATGACTGTGCTAGGCAGCATTCCTACCGTCATGTGATCAAAATTTGGGTGCTTGACAATCAGCCTGTATTTATGACAGTTGTCACGTCCAAAGGTCAGGTGATCACCATTTTCAGCCTGGCTTCCAACAAGCAAAATCAGTGGGAAACCTAGATTTGCTGAGTGACTTCATGATTCACTTAAGAAATAATGCAGTGATTTGCTTAACAATAATAGCANAAAAAAAATACTTCAAAATCATGGTGCGTCTTATACTCCGGTGTGTCTTATAGGCTGAAAAATATGGTATTTATTTATTAGCTGATTCTGGTGCTACTCCAGTCAGAACATTCTAAGCAGCTTATAATCTGCCTGTTATAAGAAAGGTGGAATTATGAAAAGCGTAAGGAACAGCAAAATTAACTGGGAAAGTGCAGTCCATCGTTCTTTTAGTCTGAAAAATAAACATGGTGAAGAGTGCAATTTTTGTTCACTTCTTAGACATCCTGCCAAATCCTCCTTCAGCCGAACCCTCTTGCTAATTTTCCTGTTTGTTCTCTTCCCCAGGAACCTACAACATCAGCGCCCTGGTCACCATAGCTACCAAAACCTTCTTACGCTATGACAAACTGCGAGTGTTGATTGACAGCATCCGCAAGTTCTACCCCACTGTGACCATCATCATTGCAGATGATAGCCAGGATATCGAACACGTGCAGGGACCCCACATTGAGCAGTATTTCATGCCTTTTGGCAAGGTGGGAGATGTTCTAGGGCAGGGGTGTCAAACTCAAGGCCCGGGGGCTGGATTTGGCTCATGGGATGCTCAGATCTGGCCCGTGGGGCCGCCCTGGAAACAGCGAAGGACTGGCCCGCAGTGTCTCTGCTAGTGATAATGGAGCTTGGTACGGCTGCGAACAGCCCTCCCTAGCTCCGTTTTTCCTGGCAAAGGGTTGCAGGAGGCCATCGCAGCCAGAATGGAGTTTGGGAGCCCGTTTTCGCTGACAGAGCCTTTAGGCCACCAGAGGCGCCCCTGACACGAATGATATCGAGCTGGCCACGCCCAGCCTGCCCCCCCCCCCCGAGGTCAAACACAATCCTGATGTGCCCCTCAATGAAATCGACTTTGACACCACTAGGGGAGTCCTCAGGCCTAGCCTAGGCCAGGTTCTTAAGGGCACTGCAAGTTTGGGAAGGATTTAGTCCCAGAGGTTTGGTGAGTAAGGAAAGGGCTTAAGGAACCTCTGCTAAAAGGAGCTCCTTCCATTGTCCTCTCATGCTGGGAAACATTTCTGTAATTTGAAATTTGTTACCATGGATTGAACAGGAATTTCCCCCCGCAACTTACTGGTGATCAAAGTTAGATTGACTAAGGAGCTGAATTTCCCACCCACCTTTTTCAATATCGATTCATGCATATTTCTACTCATCCAAAAGCCGTTCACTGAGTTGATTTCTCAGGAGAAAGCATGGAAAATTTGACAATCATGTAGCTGAAGAGATCCAGACCCCTGAGTCTAGGATAAAAGTTGCCTTGCATTTGTAGGATAAAAATCAAGGCTGAACTGGTTAAGGCCATATTATGGAGTCCTTGGTGCTCTCTGAGCTTGGTTGTTTTCTTGTTTTCTGACATTACCCAATATCTTCATTGCTAGAAGGGGATGGGATTCATATTGAACCAGGGTGAAAGAAAAGTGACAGGTAGGAATCTCATGTGGGTTGCAGGAGTAAATTTGGAGCTCCATAGAAGATTACTTAGTTATTCAGTTGAACAATGCAAAGTTGAAATGGATGGTACCGATCAGAGTTTTGAAAAGGTTGACAGACAAAACTCGGGATTATAAAGTCATTG